TGAGGTCTTTCATCCATTTTGAGTTTATCTTTATGTATGGTGTAAGAGAATGGTTGAGTTTCATTCTTCTGTATATAGCTGTCCAATTTTCCCAGCACCATTTATTGAAGAGACACTCTTTTTTCCATTGCATATTCTTTCCTGCTTTGTCGAAGATTATTTGACCACTGAGTTGAGGGTCAATATCTGGGCTCTCTATTCTGTTCCATTGATCTATGTGTCTGTTTTAGTGCCAGTACCATGCTGTCTTGGTGATCACAGCTTTGTAATATAACTTGAAATCAGGCGTGATGCCCCCAGCTTTGTTTTTCTGTTTCAACATTTCCTTGGCAATTCAGGATCTTTTCTGATTCCATACAAATTTTAGGATTGTTTTTTCCAACACTTTGGAAAATTCCATTGGTATTTTGATTGGTATGGCACTGAAGGTATAGATTGCTCTGGGCAGCATTGACATTTTAACAATGTTTATTCTTCCGATCCATTAGCATGGGATGTTTTTCCATCTTTTTGTGTCTTCTTCAATTTCTTTCATGAGTGTCCTATAGTTCCTAGACTATAGATCCTTTACCTCTTTGGTTAGCTTTATTCCGAGGTATCTTATGGCTTTTGGTGCTATTGTAAATGAAATCGTCTAATTTATCCTTCTACAGTTGCATTAGTGTATAAGAAAGCAACTGATTTCTGTGCATTGATTTTGTATCCTGCCACATTACTGAACTGCTGTATGAGTTCTAGTAATTTGGGGGTGGAGTCTTTTGGGTTTTCCACATAAAGTATCATGTCATCTGTGAAGAGAGAGAGTTTGACTTCTTCTTTGCCAATTTGAATACCTTTTATTTCTTTTTATTGTCTGATTGCTGTTGCTAGGACTTCTGGTACTATATTGAACAATAATGGCGAGAGTGGGCATCCTTGAAGTGTTCCTGATCTTAAGAGAAAGGCTCTCAGTTATTCCCCATTGAGAATGATATTCGCTGTGGGTTTTTCATAGATGGATTTTAAGAACTTGGGGAATGTTTTGTCTATCCCTATACTCTGAAGAGTTTTAATGAGGAAAGGATGCTGCATTTTGTCAGATGCTTTTTATGCATCAATTGAGAGGACCATATGGTTCTTCTCTCCTCTTATTAATGTGTTCTATCACATTGACTGATTTGCGAATGTTGAACCACCCTTGCATCCCGGGGATAAATCCTACTTGGTCGTGGTGGATGATCCTTTTAATGTATTGTTGGATCCTATCAGCTAGCATGTTATTGAGGATTTGGAATCCATATTCATCGGGGATATCGGTCTGAAATTCTCCTTTTTTGATGGGGTCTTTGCCTGGTTAGGGGATCAAGGTAATGCTGGCCTCATAGAATGAGTCTGGAAGCTTTCCTTCTGTTTCTATTTTTTTTGAAACAGCTTCAGGAGAATAGGTATTATTTCTTCTTTGAATGTTTGGTAGAATTCCCCAGGGCATCCATCAGGCCCTGGACTCTTGTTTTTTGGGAGGTTTTTGATCACGGCTTCAATCTCGTTACTGGTTATTGGTCTCTTTAGGTTGTCTATTTCTTCCTAGTTCAGTCTTGGGAGTTTATAGGTTTCCAGGAAGGCGTCCATTTCTTCTAGGTTGCTTAATTTACTGGCATATAGTTGTTGATAATAATTTCTAATAATTGTTTCTATTTCCTTGGTGTTAGTTGTGATCTCTCTCCTTTCATTCATAATTTTATTAATTTGGGTCTTTTCTCTTTTCTTTTGCATAAGTCTGGCCAGTGGTTTACTGATCTTATTAATTCTTTCAAAGAACCAGCTTCTAGTTTCATTTATCTGCTCTACTGTATTTCTGGTTTCTAATTCATTGATCTCTATTCTAATCTTAATTATTTCTCTTCTAACGCATGGCTTAGGCATTTGTTGCTTTTTCTCCAGTTCTTTAAGCTGTAAAGTTAGTTGGTGAGTTCAGGATTTTTCTAATTTTTTGAGTGAGGGTTGGATGACTACGTATTTCCCCCTTAGGACCACCTTTGCAGTATCCCATAGGTTTTCGTTCTCATTGGTTTCCATGAATTGTTTAAGTTCTTCTTTGATTTCCTGTTTGACCCAAACATTCTTGAGCAGAGTGGTCTTTAGCTTCCAAGTGTTTGAATTTCTTCCAAAATTTTCTTGTGTTTGAGTTCCAGTTTTAAAGCATTATGGTCTGAGAATATGCAGGGAATAATCTCAATCTTTTGGTATCGGTTGAGACCTGATTTGTGAACCAATATGTGGTCTATTCTGAAGAAAGTTCCAGGTGCACTCAAGAAGAATGAGTATTCTGTTGTTTTAGGGTGGAATGTTCTGTATATATCTATGAGGTCCATCTGGTCCAGTGTGTCATTCAAAGCTCTTGTTTCTTTGTTGATTTTCTGCTTAGATGATCTGTCTATTGCTGTTGTGGAGTATTGAGGTCTCCTACAATTAATGTATTATTATCAATATGACTATTTTGGTTAACAGTTGGCTTATGTAGTTGGCTGCTCCCATGTTGGAGGCATAGATATTTACAATTGTTAGATCTTCTTGTTGGATAGACCCTTTAAGAATGATATAGTGTCCTTCTGTGTCTCTAACTACAGTCTTTAGTTTAAAATCTAATTTGTCTGATATAAGAATTGCTACCCCAGCTTTCTTTTGAGGTCTGTTGGCATGGAAGATGGATCTCCATCCCTTCACTTTGAGTCTGGATGTATCTTTAGGTTCAAAATGAGTGTCTTGTAAACAGCATATGAATGGGTCCTGTCTTTTTATCCAATCTGCAACCCTGTGCCGTTTTATGGGAGCACTTAGGCTGTTCACGTTGAGAGTGATTACTGAAAGATATGTATTTATTGTCATCATGTTGCCTATGAAGCCCCTGTTTCTATAGATTGTCTCTGTAAATTTTTGTTCTGTACCACTCTAGAGGTCTTTCTCCTTTTATAGAACCCCCCTTAGTATTTCTTACAGGGCCGGCTTAGCGGTCACATATTCTTTCAGTTTCTGCCGGTCCTGGAAGCTCTTCTAATTAAATGTTTTTAAATACAGGAAATTTTAGAGGAAAACAAAAAAGAGTTGCTTTCTTATCACTCAGTTACCTTCTTATCCTTTGAAAAATATTAATATAGAAAGGCTTATATAAAAGGGAAACTAAGTCTTTCCTCCTGTCCAGCATCCCCATCCTTCCTGTATAAACCAATAAAATAACCAATCAAGTTTCTTATATATTTCTCTAGAAAAAAACATTTATGGATATGTCAACATAAAAGTACATGTTAGAAATAAACATATCCATTTTATTTACAAGAAAGGGATTATTTAATACAAAATTTTCTATGCCTTGTTTTTTTCATCTAATAATCTTGGTGGTGTTTTTTTTTTTTTTACATTAGCACATATAGAGCTATTTCTCCTTTTAAATAACAACAGCTTCATGTTTTCTTCTGTTTGGATATTCCAAAATTTATTTAACCTGTTCTCTATGAACAGAATTGAAGAAAAGTTTTAAAGTATTCTTATTCAGCTTAAAACTCTTAAAACTAAAATTAAAGTATTGGACCGTAATGATTACTGACCAAAGATTAAATCAGTTAAAATATCTTTAAAGTTGAGTTTAAGTTTTATTGCCCTTAGACTCTTACTATCAGTATTGCTAAGGATGTTAAGAAAGTTACATATTGCAATAATCTGTATGACACTTGCATGATTTGCCTCTTAATGTGTTCAGTGAGCATGAACTTTCATTCTAAGTCAATAAACAGTACATTCATTTCTCCACATCCATCCTATAAAAGCACAACTAGAAAACAATTAAGGACTTTAAGAGAGTCATCAATTACTGGGAAGTATCACAGACAACAAGACATGAAGAAATACTTTCCTACAAATTTATTCATCACAATCAGTGATTCTTAAAGTACAGCCTGGAAATGCCTGGTGCTACGTAACAAATCTCTAGATCACTGAATTTAAATCAACAGTTACTAAGCTATGTGTGATGCATGCGGCTAAGCACTGGAAATACAAAAATGGATAACACCCAGACTCTGTTCTCCAGTCAGAGCTGGAAGGAGGGGGAAAAATAGACCCCAAATCACAATATAGAGCAGAGTTTCCCAACTACCCCTGTACCCATGGGCCTAGGTGAGGGCTCTGGGGGTTTTACCTCTGTTGGAGAGTAGCCTCATCCAGTATGCCATACAAATAATTTTTTGTTTGTGCATGGACAGAAAAAGGTTGGGAAGCTCTCTTATATAGTTAATACAGTTAAAAGAGCTATGAAAACAGAGCACGGAAGAGAAACAATATTTGAGTTTTCCAGATAGAAAGTGGGGAAAATAGTGGGTTTTTTTTTGTGATTTTATTTATTTTATTTATAAGAGGTCTGAGTTTAATTTTGTTTCCTAAACATTGTAGTAGGAGCGATTTCTATTATAGAGGATTAACTTAGAATTCTGGAATGAGGGAGAATCCTATGATACCATTTTTCCATTTAGGGAGACAATGTGACTCTCCAGAGGAAGGACAATCCATACATACTTATAAATCTATTAAGTACTTTGACAATCGGAGTCAGAAATTCTCACACTACCATTTACTTCCTTGGGTTATGGTAAAAAATCTGATAGTGAAAAAGCTAGGAAATGAAATGTTATTTAAAACAGAAAATACCTGCTTGCGAGGAATTTGCTCCGCCATACGTCACACTGTATAGACATACGTTCTAGCTGTTCAGAAAGTTGAGCTGTGTTTTGACCTAGGGCTTCATTTTCTAAAATAAGCTGATTTTTCTCACGGGCTAGACGTTCAAAATGATACTGAAGATCATCCCCAATAGAAGCCACTAGCAACTTTTTTAACTCTCGATTGACCTAGAAGAAAATATGACCGTTACAAACAACTTAAAGTAATGTCAGTGGCTTTAATGTAGCAAAATGAAAAAAGAGAAACCGTGCTTCATGTATACGGACCTCCATTACTTAAAGTGTCTATCAAAAAGCAATATTAAATATTGAAGTTTCATAATCTATATAAACCATCTGTCTCTATGTCTACATATTTATATCTATAGTCCATGTGATTATAAACTGAGCCTCTTCTAGTAAGAGTACCAACCATTATCACAAAAGTTACAAACTGCTTCCAGTCAATACTTGAAGGCAAAAAGTTAGAAAACCAAACCAATAAATTTTGCCAAAAAATATGACTGAGAATGTTTTAATGTTTTTTAGATCTTTTTCAGTATTTAAAAATTAATTTCTTTGTGCCACAGGATTTGATTTCTTTTTTCTTTTTTTTTTTAGAGGGAGAGAGAAAAAGAGAGTATGAACAGGGAGGGGTAGAGGAAGAAGGAAAGAGAGAATCTTAAGCGGGCTCCACTGCCAGTGTGGAGCCTGACGTGGTGCTTGATCTCATGGCCCTGAGCTGGAAGGAGTCAGTCAAGAGTCCCAGGCTTAACTGACTGAACCACCCACATACCCCTGTGCCATAGACGAATTTAAGCAAAGGAAGCAATTTAGCATATCTATAAGCATGTTCTTTACTTTATCTAAAAAGTGAAAAATTAAAACATAAATGTCCAATAATAGGTATTGATATATGGTGTAGCAATAGAAGAACACTGTTGGTATTAAAAATGATATTGTAATAGAATATTCTGTGACATAGGAAAATATTAAAAAAGGCAAAAATGAACTCAATGTGTATAATTATGTATTTATAGCTAGATGGTATAATTATAGCTGGTACTATTTTCAATTTTTGTATTTTTTAAAATATTTACAAATAAATACTTTTTGTAATTAGAAATTAGTTATTTAAAAAATATTAAAGATATATTTGGATAAGAACCACTAACTATAGTGTCACTTATAAAGACTAACATCCAGCAAAAAGATGAAGGGTCTAATAGAGAAACAAAGGGTGAGGAGTAAGGCAATGTTTACTAACATGTAAAGATGAAAGAAACACAGCCAAGCACTATAGATCATTTTCCATTTACAATGAAGATACCAATGCTTATCCCTCCATTCCCTTTATCCCAAGTATTATGTACGCATAAGCAAAAATACTTGGAACTTATGGATCCTTAAAACAGGAATTGTTAACTAGGTAACTTTAAAGTCTAATAGGTCAGTCTTTGATCTGGACTTTTATAACCATGACTTCTTTTACACCTATAGGTGGTCTTGTCCAGAGTACCTCATACTTCCATCTTCAACTTTAGAGGACAAGTTCCCAACATATACTAGTTCTACTTGAGGTGCTGAGAGAGAAAGAGAAATTTAAGAGGAATCTTTTTAGAGAAATGACAAGCCGAAATAAATGACATTCCAAGAGGAAATACAGTTTTCTAACACATAGGCTTAGATGGTCCAGGTGTAAAGAGCAGTGCTCATTAAAGCTATTTGTTCTTACCTCTGTCTGTACTCTGAGCTGGTTTGAAAGACCTTCTTTGTCCTGTAGTAACCTCCTTTCAGAGTTCTTGAGCTTTTCCAATATATTCTTTACCTCTGATAGTTCCTTTCTGGGTTCTATAATTCCCTCTGACTGACCAAGGAGTTCTCCTCTATGATGTCCCAGAGACTTCACCTTTGCATTCTTGTTGGGGACATCATGAGTTATAGCAGCTTTGGGAACTAATATTCTTACGGCTTCAACTTCCACTGCTTTTTCAGTGAGAATCTTCCCAAGCTGAAGGACTCCTGGGCTCTCCCCTGGAACTGCTTTCTTCCGTGGATTCTGAAGGATGTGATGCTTTATGGGTTGGACTCCAGAGGTAACTTCAACAGATTTAGGCGGCTCCTCAGTTTCCATTCCATCTCCTGCTCCTCGGACTGGGGTTGGAGTAAGGGTGACTATGAAAGGGAAAGCAAAACATAAGCTACTTGCTAAAAACAAATGCCAAGGAAAATGCCAAGATAGACTTTATCCTACATTCAGAATTACTAGCACTAAAAAGAATACAAAAAATTCAGAGTAAAAGTTAATTTTCAAAACAATCAGATGTCAATAAAAGATGGAAAATAATCTTATAGGTTCAAACTTTCCTTAAGTAAATGGTTTCTCTCTTGGCAAAAAATGCAAGAGATTTGGAATCAAGGTATTTGGTTCTGACTTCTAAATCCTAGTATGACCCTGGCTAAACAATTGAACCGTCCACGAATCTCTACTTCATATTCTGCGAAATGGAGATAGTAACAACTGTGCTCCACGGTTGTGGTAGGAAAGGATTCAATAAGGTCAAGCACTTGGCACACCAGAGTGTGCCTTCGTAAGGTTCCTAAGCCTTTCTCTAACCTTTCCAGATTAAGCTGGGTTCCCTGTTCATGTGCACCTGCAACAGAGACTGCATTTCTTTTTTCTATCTATCAAAATGGTAAATGGACTTTTTTCCCGCAGTGTTACTAGTTATACAATGTCTACGCCTTCCTCTAGGATGTAAGTCCCATGAGGGTAGAGATGAGTAATGTGCCTTGCACCCAGCACTGTTTAGCTGATAAGACAATAAATGAATGATAACAAGGGGAGGGGCACAGGACGAGCATATATATCAATGGTTATGATGACAATCTTTGAGTGGTCACAGGCTGCAAACATGCAGCATGGTGCCTAATATTGAGCAGACATTGTTTGGGGGTAGTGGGGACTTTTATGTTCAAGAAATTACTATCTAATTTAGGAGATAGGACACACATATAAAAAAATAACATGTATTACAGGGTAACAGATAATAAGAGTACAATATGTGGTGCAAAATTTCTACCAGAATTTTATTTCTACAGAAATGTTAACTAAGAACAATCATGGACCAATCTTTAGTAAATTCATCACTATTATATATTTATATTTATACCTACTAAGGTAAAGACAGGAAACAGAATTCCTGGTTAAAAAGAAAATAAAGCCAAAGTATGTCCTTAGCCTCAATTACTGTTAGTTATCAGTACCATGTTCTGATCAATTAAATATCAATTTTTAATTATTAAATATTAATCATGTTTCACTGTAACCTATTAAGTCAGGAGAACAATTTGGTAAGAACAATAATAAGGCCTTATTAAAACTAAACCTTTCTTAAAAATTTCTGAAGTACAAAGCCATATGAAAAAAGAGACTATACAACATATAAACATCCTATCAAGCAAAGACTGTTGTCACCTTGATTCCTGAATTCTTGTTTTAGAAATGGAATTCTCCAGCAAAGAACCATAGGAAATGATAAGCTTGCCCAGGATGAGGTCTTTTCTAGCAAGGGAAATACCTAACAAGAAAACCTTCCTGGGGTTTATTTATTAGTTTTCTATTTTTTAATGAGCTTACTTTTCTTCTTTCTCACAAACTTTGTTATACAGATGCAGAAACTGCAGAGCAGAACAGATTATCTTCACACACAGTCACTCATGTATCCTCTGGTTTTTAACATTATATTATTAAAAGGTATTAAGAAGAAAAAATTACCTATCTTCTCATCACTCTAAAATAGCTTTTCATTACTTCAAGTTTCTTCATTATTTTTATGTTTGTAATCATAGTTAACTTTAGAAGCTTAATCTATTTTGCTGCATTCTTCATATTTTTCATTTTATGACTATATTATTTCTTCAAGTTAATATAACATTATTTATTTATTATTCTGTTGTTGGATATTTATACTTTCTCCAATTTTTCACTATAATAATGCTTTAGTGAATACTTTTGTGCCTACAGATTTTTCTCAACTTCTGGATTATTTCTTTTTAATAAATTCTCAAGAATGGAATTAATGTGCCAGGTGAAGATCTGTATTGTCAAACTGCCTCAAAAAACAACTCTAGCAATGTATCAATAGATCTATGCCTTATGTTCTTATTTAGTTTTATTTATTTTTTGTATGCTCAACACCAACGATTTAATACAATAATTAAGATTTTAATACACGAATATGTGTAAAGTGTTTAGAATGTTGTGTGGCACAGTAAGCACTAACCAAATGTTAGCTTCTACTGCTATTGTTATTATTCTTTAAAAAACCCTAATAAAGTTTGGATCTTGATTAAAGGGAGAAAGCTTAAGTTATGTCATCAAATATTACTCTTTTATTTTCTTATGCTCAAGTCTTACAAAAGTACATCACTAGACTTGAGAACTATTTTTTCATTTAACAGATTTTGGGGGGGGGAATTTTTCTTACATATATAGCAAGCAGTGTACTGGGAATCTTGAGTTATGTTAAGAGAGGAGGTGGAAAGACATCCGGTATATAATGTGTTCTATTTTACAAAACATTTTCCATTAGAATAAAATATTTTGTCATTTCCATATTGAACGTTAACTTGGCACTTAGGACTAACTCCACCTTCAAAAAGATGAATAAAGAGGGTGCCTGGGTGGCTCAGTTGGTTAAGCGACTGCCTTCGGCTCAGGTCATGATCCTGCAGTCCCGGGATCGAGTCCGCATCAGGCTCCCTGCTCAGCAGGGAGTTTGCCTCTCCCTCTGACCTTCTTCCCTCTTATGCTCTGTCTCTACCATTCTCTCTCTCTCTCAATAAATAAATAAAAATCTTTAAAAAAAAAAAGTGAAATAAAGAGTTTGGTATTTCAGGTCATGCTATAGCACATCTGCACTTAGGAGGAGATCTTCCACTGAACTGTTGCAAGAATGAAGGTCTGCTCCCATGTTCTTAAAATCTGCTTTGAAAAGTTTGTCTAACTCTATCTAAAGCAAATTTAATTCTGTCACTAAGATATTCTGTCATTTAAGAAGTTATGCTGAATCATGAACTAATACAGATTAATTAAAAACAAAACAAAAAGACAAACTAGAGCTAGACCACTCAGGTCCACTGAAGCTGAAGAATTAATCACCACTGACACCCTGTGGTGATTAAACAGGATTTTTAGGCAAGTCACAACTTTTTTGAGTTGGAATTTTAGGTAATGGAGATTCAAGAACAAATCACGGAATAGTTACTGCTAAATTTAAAAGGCAAAGGAACATTAATGGGTATTTAAAAGAAATCTCTTTTCAAACAAAATACGTCATAAAACGCCAGTGAAGAAATTCTATCAACTTGGTTCAGCCTCAATTTACTCTTAACTTTATGTAAACTGTTGTACTTACTCAAGCATTTATGAGTTCGAGAGTTGTACAACATGCCATGGCAGCTATTAACAACTCTGTAATAACTACGCTTCTAGCTAATGTGCACCAGCAAGGAGGCCAGTGGGAGTCAGGGCTATTTTGTTGTCTAGTAACTTGCATTTCATCATTTTGGTTTCCCTTATGACACACACAGAAACCTTTATTACATATGTGCTAAGCACAATCCAGGACACATTCAGGACCAGTTATCGTCTCTCAGGTGGGAAGGCAATGATCCGTGGTACCAGCTCCATAATTAGGAATGATGTGTAAGTAAAGCAAAACATCAGCCCCTCTTCCCCACTCTTTGAAGGGAACCAACAGAATGATTCTTCAATTATTCATCAACTTTTCTTCTACCTGTGATCAGTAATCAAAGAATGAAGTGTATCTCAAGTTTATGGATCATTCTTACTGCCTTCCCCAAAGATTATTGAAATGTAGGGAAAGAACAAATATTCTATAACAGGAGTTGGCTTCTATAACAGGAGTTGGCAAACATTTTCCATAAAGGGTCAGATAAATATTTTAGGCTCTGTGGACCACAAGGCAAAATTGAGGATAAGAGATAGGTACTTATACAAAGAAGAAAAAAAAACAACTCATTTTCAAAGATGAAACTCAAACTATAATAAGAAATTGAGTCAAGTTTTTTTTTTGTAATATGGGTCTAATAACGAGAAACATAGAATTCTTTTTTATTTGGGATAACCCTTGGCTTAAGTGGGATTCAAGGTTAGTGTTCCCCATCACCAAACTGATTTGTAAATATTCTCAGGAGGCTGAGGGCCATAACTTACCAACCCTTGCTCTAGAATACTGAGGCAAAAAGAATAGTATTTTATAGTCTGTCATTAAAGAAACATTCCTCCTTTTTTTCATAAAACTGTAAATCTAAGAAGACAGATACTCTAGGTCCATAGGAGGGTGCAGTAACAAGAACACTAGACTCTGGGTCAAAATACCTTAAATACCACAGTGTGATTTGCCACACATTGTGACTTTGGGCAGATCACTTACTCATTACTCTCCTCTAATCCCTCAGTGCTTTCAGAACAATGCAAATATCAGAATGTTTTAAAATAATCTGTTTTTCTCACAGACTGGACTCTTGGGAGCTCCACAGGGCAGCGTCTACCTCCTAATCTTTGTATTGTTGGCTTAATGAAATGGTGCTTGGCACAGAAAAGATGAGTAAGTGCTTTCTGAAGTTCATCAATGTTAATATGCTACTGAGAAGATTTCATTTTAACATCCACTAACTCATTTAAAAACTGCTTACCTTTTTTTCCCTCTACACCAAAGCATTAATTCCTAACTCAGTTATAGTCTGACAAACTTTTCAGAATATACAAAGATTCAGCTATCAAACAGTCAAACAATTCAGGGATTGTCACTCAGTAATTTCAAATCAATATTTACTTATTTATTTATTTATTAACATTTTATTTGAGATAGTAAGAGAGAGAGCACAAGCTGTGGGGTGGAGGAAGAAGGAGAAGCAGGCTCTCCACTGAGCAAGGAGCCCAATGCGGGGCTTGATCCCAGGACCCTGGGATCATGACCTGAGCTGGAGGCAGATGCTTAACCCACTGAGCCACCCAGTTGCCCCGAAATCAATATTCTTTTGTCACCAATATCATTTAATAGGGTTAGTTACTATTAAATTAGAAAAATGTTAAAAGACAATGGACTTAAGAGTTAGGCCCACATTCACTGACATGGAATCTAAACATTCTTTTTGTCACAGGCTCCATTAATAAAGAGTTCCCTGGCCAAGTAAATGGGGGCAAGGCTGAGCACTACATCTCTCTGCCCCTTCACAGTGTGCATTAGTAGGCTAAAGGCTCTGGGAGGTCTTGTAGTATAATCCCTCCTTTAATCCAGAATTTCCCAAATTTATCTGCCCAGGGATTCCTTCTTCACCTAATACCTGTTATTCCACAGAATGAGTGTTGAAGTTAGGTTATTTTATGGAATTCTAAATATTTAAATGTCTCAGACTTTCCTACTTGGTTTACTTTCACTAAACGGTCTGACTTCAAGACCTGTAATTTTAATCTTGCTCTCAAGAAAGTTTTGGATTCAAATTCTTATTTTTGAATTGTTTCTCTTTATTGCACGTTTCCCATTCAAATGAAGTCCTAGCAGCAACTACGCATCATCCCTCTCATGATGACAGGTTTTTTTTTTTTTTAAAGATTTTATTTTTATTTATTTGACAGAGAGAGACACAGCGAGAGAGGGAACACAAGCAGGGGAAGTGGGAGAGGGAGAAGCAGGCTTCCCGCTGAGCAGGGAGCCCGATTCCAGGACCCTGGGATCACGACCTGGGCTGAAGGCAGACACTTAACGACTGAGCCACCTAGGCACCCCTCATGATGACAGTTTTGCTCAAATGTCCACTAAGAGGAACTTCTATTGCTGTAAACCAATGTTGCTTTTCTTGTGAGGCAGTTATAGGAAGTGCAGGCAACTGACAAATGTCAACCATGATCAGTACACCTATTTTTAGGCCACGCAATACAAGGAACTTTTGTTCACTAACAACCATTAAGTAGGAAGAGGACTAACGGCTGAATTATGTACCTTACTGTAAAATTAAGATGAAATGAAAGAATGTATGTATAACCCTAATCCTCACTACAAACAGGTAATAATAAAAAAAATTTACTTTCACAGAGGCCTTGCAATAACTAACTTTTAATCACTAATGATAATATTGTATTTAGGTTTTGTTTTTGCCAAGCACCATGCTAATGACTTTCACCTTAGTTACCATTTAATTGCTCTATTTCTCATAACCCCCCAGTTTATTACTTTCATTATCCTCTCTGGTTTGCTTATTTGAATACTATAAGTTTTCTGGTGACTCTGAAATGCTGTTCACACACAGCTGAATAAATTCAATTAAATATTTATTGGGATGATCTTCTCTTTCTTGCTTCCTAAACAGATTTAAATCCATCCCCCCCCCTTTTAAAAGATTTTATTTACTTATTTGAGAGAGAGCGAGCAAGCTCAAGCAGGGGGAGAGGGGCAGACAGAGGGAGAAGCAGACTCCCCACTGAGCAGGGAGCCAATGCAGGGCTTGGGTTCCATCCCAGGGTTCTGGGATCATGACCCTGGCTGAAGGCAGACGCTTAATGGACTGAGCCACCCAGGTGCCCTGATTTAAATCCCTCTTAAAGAGTTTGCTGTTGGAGGTCTATTTGCTGCAAAGCTGGCTTCTGGAAAGTAGTTTCCCATCTCTCACTGACAGCCCCAACCACCAGAACTCACTCCACCCAAGTCAGGAGGCCCTCACTTTGGGATATGCTAATACGGTTACCAATGCCGATGTGAACATGGTCAGTAGGCTATAAGGGTCTGAAACACAAAGGAAGAGATCTGGGCTATAGACAGGTTTGGAAGTTATTCTTAAGATAATTAAGAAGCCCTGAGAGCAGAAGAGAAAGAGGGCTGAAACATATTAATATTTAAAAGATAAACCAGAAGAAGAGGAGGATGAAAAACAGAGAAAATGTTGCTAGAGCAGTGGTGTCCAGAAGAACGTTCTGCAGTGATGGAAATGTTTTCTATCTGCATTTTCTAATGCAATAGCTACTAGCCACATGTGACTAATAAGCACTAGAAATGTGGGTGGGTGACTGAGGAACTGAATTTTTAATTTTTAAAAATATTCATCTAAACTCAGCCACATGTGGCTACTGCATTGGACAGTGAAGGGCTGAAAACAAGAGTGGTATCATGGAAATCAAAGAAAGAAAGTACTTCAAAAGGTGGGAATGATCAACATATGAAATGTTATAGAGAGGACAAGCAAAACAGGACTAAAAAGTAACTAGTTAGCAAGTGTTATGAGTTGAATTGTGTCCCCCCGCCACAAGTATTCCTATGTTAAAGTCCTAACCATCCATATTTCAGAATGTGACTTTATTTGGAAATAGGGTCATTACAGATGTAATTAGTTAGGATAAGATCATACTGGAGAAGGGTGGGCCCCTAATTCAATATGATTGATGTCCTTATAAAAAAGGAAGAATTTGGATACAGAGACACAAACACAGGGAGAATGCCATGTAAACATAAAGGCAGAGATCAGGGTGATGTATCTACAAGCTAAGGAATACCAAAAACTGGGGCACCTGGGTGGCTCAGTCAGTTAAACGTCTGCCTTAGGCTCACATCATGATCCTGGAGTCCCAGGATCTGGATCCAGCCTCATGTCAGGCTTTCTGCTCAGCAGGGAATCTGCTTCTCCCTCTCCCTTTATTTCTCTTCCTCTGCTCCTCCCTACCTCTCCCCCCATGCTCACGTGCTCTCTGCATCTCTCTCTCAATAAATAAAATCTTAAAAAAAACACAAAAAACCCCAGAATACCAAAAACTGCCAGCAAACCACCAGAAACTAGGAGAGAGGCCTGGAACAGATCCCTCTCTGTGAGGCTATAAATTTCAGTTGTTTAAGCTCCTCAGATTGTGGTGATTTGTTAAAGCAGCCCAAGCAAAACAACCCAACACCAAAAAAAAGTCTTTTATACCTCCTAGTTGCTTGTCCACCTACTTAAATTTTTTTTTTTAAAAAATCTGTTTATTGAAATCTTAATCTTCTAATGGAGAAAAACATAGCTGCAAAACTCTGCTTTTATACTAAATGTTTAACAGTAGCTTAACAGTAGTAATGACTATTATCCAAGGATGTTAATATTCAGGTGTATATTTGAGTACGGAAATGTAAACACTGCATTACAAAACAAGCATGAAGAAATCTGAAACACAAATAGTTCCCAAGAGCTCTATGAGATTTAGTTACCTGGTTCAAACATGCCTTCGTCCTGTGGTCACAAATTGCATGTTTTAAAAACAGTTATTCAAAAGAAGAACACTTACCTTTGGTTTCTAAATTTTCAAGAGTAGTCATTTTTTAACCAATGAAAATGCACCTCAAAACTTCTATCGAAAAACCTAAAAATGTATAAAGTGAAAGAATTAAAACAAACCATACAAAGTCCCTGTAATTTAGATTTTATAATATTCTACTTGTTTTTGCATTTAGTACACATGCATTTCAAAATGCAGTTTCACAGGTGATATTGTTATGGCTAACAACTGTCTCAAAAAATTATGGGAGGTTTACTTTCAAATTTGTTTCACTGTTTTTACCAAGTATACTCTATCAGATATGTGTCCTAAGAAACTTCAGTGAAGTTAACGTAGGGGCTTTTGTATCATTGATAAGACAACAGGAATTTGAAAGGAATTAAATTACTTTCTCAGGGGACATTAGCGATACTAATGTTTGATACTAATTTGCTCACTATGAGAGAGGAGCTTCCGTTTATGTTTAAATATACGACAAAAATACTCATGATAACTTAATTTGCACTTTCTTGGGAATAAAAATTAAAATGGCGTAACATATGTTTTCAGAAACGTATGCATGGCCTTACAGTAAAGACTAAGATTCACTGGAGAACACGAGAAGGAAGGTGGTGCCAGTGCAGTGATATGAGTATGATAAATTGTACATTAGATGACAACTGGTTTCACCACAGAGTACTCGATCTAACTCGGCACAGGGTCTTCCATGACTACCCTGCTTCTACGCTGAAAACAGGTCTCCAGAGACCCTTTTGCAAGAGCAACGAGCCCTGCCACCGTGCTCCGACGCTGCGCACCGCACAGAATGCGCACGGCGAGGGTCTGCCCGCAAGTACCAATCCCAGGGAGGAGAGGGTGTGCGGTGGCTAACAGTTGTGGAAGCGACAAGTCTGTCAACCTCTGCCGCCCGGTAAGCCGAATCCGAAGTTCCGTCCGCGTCTGAACAAGCTTTCCCACAACAAAAGGCAACCTTCCCCTAAATCCAAAGCGTCTGAACACCAAACTCCAACCCAGACCTCCGTCCCTCTCACATCCTCCTCCGTTACACAAGCCAGTTCTTGGACTTACCGCCCAGGCTCCTTACTCTTCCGATTTCAGGGGGCTTCACTTGACAGACTGTAGGGCTTCGCGTCACGGGGTTAACTTCGCCCACTCCTCTTCATTACCAAGCTGACCCGCCCAGGCCTTCCTGACATCCAGCTGCTAGCTCACTATTAATCACATCCTGTTCTCAGGGTTTCGTTTCCGGAATAATTTTCCAAAAGAGAAAAGTAAATACACTCTGTGGTGTCTTAAAACTGAGTAACACAGCAAGTACGGTGTAAGGCTTCGCTAAGTGAAAAATGGATAGATGTCTACTTAAAAATAAAATATAGACTATTTGGAGCTCTAGCCACCTATGCACTTAACTTCCGGGTCACCTATCAACCAAACCTAAGTGGTGACGCTGGAAAGAGGTAGGCAGTGTTCCGTCGCCGCAAGCGAAGCCATGGAGGGCCGGGTCTGTCCACGGGTGGGCGGAGCTTCAAGTGCTCCCAGCCACTAGGAACGAAGGGGCGGGGCGGTGGCCTTCCCGCACATCCGGTAGCAGGCGGGGCTCCGTTGCCGGAGTAACTGAGCGTCGTTGTAGAGGTGGTGTCTTCCTGTGGCAGAGGTACCTATTTCCCTGCGCCGAGATCCTGAGACTATGGTGAGTGCCAGGCGAGGCCAGAAGAAGGGCTTCGGCGTCCTGGTTACGTAGCGTCCCAGGTCCTGGGGCGGAGGGACGCTCAGAGGCATCCCGGTTTCTTCCACCTTCTCTCCATTATGTTTCTCCCCTTCCCAGGGGCTGTTTCTGCAGTTTCCTTCCTCTCCCTATTTCTTGCAGCACCTTGAATTCCACTTTGGTACTGCTGAGACTTTAGAGTAATGTAACAAAGTGTAGGGGTAAACACTGGGTCTTAAACCCTGAGGTGAGACGTCATTTCGAACAAACATTTTAAATGTTTGTTTTTCGTCATTGCATTTTTTCAAATTCTCAGCTTCACCTTAACGCGTTTAATTTAAGAGTATTGTGTTGTGTGTGTGACTGTCTCAACACTCACTCGAATCACCCTAGGTCTTGCAGTGGGTGCTCTCCTGAGCGGCAGAACACTGCTCCACACCCCGTCTGAGGGCCATGTGGTAAGAGCTGTATTTGCATCAGTTCTCTTCTAGCCAGTTGATTACCTTTATAGGTAGGTGCTTTATAACAGGAATGCCCTGACGATCTCTTGGGAGAGCTTCTGGAAAATTCACTTGCTTGAGCTTCACCCCCAGAAATTCTGAATCAGTAGGAGTGGGGCTTGACATTTGCATTTTTAAAAAGCCTGTAGGTGATTTTAATTCACTTACTTGTTTGAGAACACCGGGGTTCTAGTTAATTCACTTAACTGGCAAATCTTTTAACCACTTGTGCATACCGGACTGGGGGGTAGAAAGATGACTGTGGTCAGAAGGGTGCAGCTATGAATTTAGCAACAGAGCCCCTCCCACCACCCCTTCTTTCTCCACTGCTCCACAGCAATCCTTTCCTTAACTCCATCTGCCCCTGTGCCTTTCCTGAAGAGCTCTTTTCACACTTTACAAACCCTGCCCCTTCCTCTCCTTTTTCCTCCCTTCTAAGCAGATGCGAGAGTCTAACAGTCATTTTCTTCAACCTCAGGCCCCCAACCTACTCGTTAGAGTATATACTTTAATCCATCGTTTGGTTTTGTGTTTCTGGTATAATGAAAGTGGTGTTGAAGGCCAATCCACCTTTCCTCTAGATCTCATTTCCTCCTATCCATTGCAAGGCTGCTTCTGCTTGTCTTTTTACTTTCCTGTGCTTTCAGCCTTTCTCTCCTTTTCCTGCTTCCCAGTGTTCTGGTCATACATATTGAGAAAATGAAATAAAGCACATCCTCCATGCTGTGTTTATCCAGTGATTGCCCAATCCTCCATCTCTTAGTAAACTGCTTGAAAGCACAGTATTTTCACCTGCTTCAACTGCTCCTTTCTCATCCTCAGTACTATGTTGTCTGGCTTCAATGAAGTTGCTCTTGTCTAAGTTTCTAATGGCTTTTTCGGTTCCAGTCCAGTAATTTCTTCTCAAAGTTTATTTTATTTAGCTTTTCTGCAACAGCTGAAGTTCATGAGCATTCATTCCCTACCCGCCCCCCCCCCCAAACTGGCCTTGCCTGCTTTTCAAATGCCTTTCTCTGTCTTTAATATTTTCAGTTCTTAGTCTATGCATTTTCCTGGGGTGATTTCATCCACACACATGAGTTTTACTAGTGCAGAAGCATTCATATCTAAATTTCAGTTTTCATCTCACACCTGCTAGGGCTAACCTAGTTGCATCCTGGACACCTCTACCTGGTTACCCAAAGGCCTCTGAAATTTGCCAGGACCAAAACTGAACCTGCTATCATTCCACCTGGTTTCTCTAATTCCATCAAGTTAACTAATGATATCACTATATTATAACCTATAATATAGCTTTAATATTATATAACTCTAATATTATAGTTATTATGTATTACAATATATATAACCTAAACCAGAAACCGGAGTTATTCTCCATTCCTTTTCTATGCCTCCTATATTCAAGTGGTCACTAGGTCCTGTTTTAGTTTAAGCTCTCCTTATTTCTTGCCCAGACTGTTGCAGTATTTCTTGCCCGGACTTTTAACAGTGTGGTATGGCAGTTCTTCAATCCATTATTTTCTTTGCCACAAGAAGAAATTTTTTAAAAAGATTTTATTTGAGAGAGAGCGAGCAAGCACAAGTGGGGGGCAGGGGCAGAGGGAGAGGGACAAGCAGACTTCTTCCCTGCTGAGCAGGGAGCCTGACCCTGGGATCATGACCTGAGCCAAAGGCAGACGCTTAACTGACTGAGTCACCCAGGCGCCCCAAAACGAATCTTTTAAGACCCAAATCTTTGAGGTCACTCACCTCTTTAAAACTCTAGACTCTCCATACTCTACAGTGTAAAATTCACAGTACCTGGAATGGCAGACACGGCCCTCCATCATCTAGCACTCACCTATCTAGCTTCTTTCAGCTCCTGACACTCCTTTTAGCTGCTTGTCTTTCGCTGAACATTTTGTGGTATGAGTGTTCCCTCTACTTTGCACGTGCTGTTCCTTCTACATGAGATACCCTTATCCCCTTGTTTGCTGGCCAAATTCCTTTTGATCCTTTCATACCCAGGTTAGGTGTCTCCTCTTCTGTGATGCCTTCTCTACTCAAAGACAGTTGACTTTTTTTTTTTTTTGGTCACAACTTTACATAGTACACATCTTATTTACTTGCCACATTCATTTGAAATTATTTATGAGTTTGTCACTCTTACTGAACTGAACTGGGAGAGGGCCTGATCTTTATTTTGTTCACTGCTATTGCTTACACCATATTAGGCCCTCAGATATTTGCTGAATGAAAAAGGAAGAAAATAAGAATGTGGTAAGTGCCCTGAGAGGTTACAGAGTACTTGGGGGATATTGGAGGATGGAATCCTCACTTTTCAGAGTCAGGCCATCATTAAGCAAATGGAATAGAATTTCCATAGTGACAATTCAATGGCCTGAACAGTGGCATAGGGAGATGGAAAGTGACATTTGTGGAATACTGGTTTTCTTTGTGCTTGTCTTACATTTTTGTTATTTAGACTTCCCAACCACACTAAGAGCGGTGAATTCCTCCCCCTACCCTCTGCCCTGGCTGGAGTTGTGTGTGATGGCTCTTTCAAATTGGGTGGTCAGTGAAGACCCCTCTGAAGAACTGACTTCTGTCTTAAGACCTGAATGATGAAGTGCAGAGATCTGGGGGAAGTGTACCAGGCAACACCAACGACAGGATCAAAGGCCCTGAGGGAGCAAAGTGGTTGGCATATTTCAGGAAGGGATCTTGGGGTTTAATGTAAAAAATAATAGAAATTCTGTGGTGGGGCGGGGTGGGGGCAGCAGCAGTGGGGGAAATATGGCAGAGAACAACACGAAATGCAGTTAGAGTGGGAGGTAGAGGCCAGCCCCCATGTGTGTACTATAGCATGGTTTCTCAGCCTAGATTCTACCCCATTATGCAGTCATGAAATCAATTTGTTGTATGTAGCCAGCATTAAAAAAGATGACATAAAGCAAACACTATATTCATTGTATGTACTAAGGATAACTTACACGAAACTTAAATTGTTGTGTCTTGTATGTACTGGGTTATGATATAAAATGCATTCCTTCCTGTCAGTCATGGTCCACAAAGTTCAAGATATAGTGTACTTTGAACAATGTATACTTTAAGAGGCAAAATAGTTGATCTCAAGGCACACAGATTTCTTATTCCTCGTTTGACCTAGTGACAATCTTCCTGTGTGGCAGGAGAAGCTCTGAATTGAATGAGAGTCTAAAATTGACTAGAGCAGAATTTTCAAGTTTCTTTCTGCACCCAGATCTCTCTCCTGTGTCAGTTGCTGTCAGTCGTTTTTGAGAAAGAAGAGGCCTTTAGAAAGCCAGGGAGACATTGGTGTCCTTTCTCAGTGTTCAGTCTCACCTCTGGCATGTGTATTGTATCAAAGGCTGATGGTCTCTCTCTAAGCAGCCGAAGGTGGAATTTGTTTGCTCTGCTGGTGTGCCTTCCTGACCGCTGCAATTACATTATCTGGTCAGCTTCTGTCTGCATCTGGTTTGTTAACAGCTGTAGCTTCCAGCACCATAATTAGGTCTTGACTACAAATTCTAGACCTGCCTCTGTCTTGCGAAGCAGAGATAGGCAAATGTAGTTTAGTATATCACATACGTGTTGTTTAAGGTAAAGAATATGCTAGAGTCATCAATTTATTTACTTTTATGTGTAAAGAGAATAGAGGAGATAATCCCAAGATTCTTTTGACTACTAAAGAGATAGGAATGTTGTATATCTTCTAAAATAGAACATCGATTTGAACGCTGTTAACCAAGATGATCTGCTAGTATAATGTAAGGCCTTTAAAGATTATCTGCTATGTTCCGCAAGGATTAGACTAAACAAATGTCTCAAAGTTGTTGGTTTAAAAGAGACTTCAAAGAGTTTCGTGATGGCTAAATATGAACAAGATTTTATTCCATGAAATGTTTTTCAGTTTCCAGCTTCATAAGTTTCTTTTAAATACGCTTACTGTTTTTATCTTTGGCATGCACTTCTTAACTCTCCAGGATTCCTTTTGTTACTTGAAGTGCTAACTCGGAAGGATGGCAACTCCAAAGCCCCAGGCAGGATTTCATTTGCTGAAACTGAATCAGAAAGTATAACGCCTAATTTAGAAACCTGAAACCAAACAAACAGTTTTTCCCACTAAACGATTTTAT